TTTTTTGGGGGATTTTTCTGGGGTTTCTTTGGGGGTTTTTTGGGGGGATTTTGAGGTTTTTTGGAGGGATTTTTTGGGGGTTTTTTGGGGATTTGGGGATTTTTGGGGAATTTTGGGAATTTTGGATTTCTCACCTTGGTCTCGCGGGCGATTTTGGGATTTTTTGGGGGATTTTTTTGGGGTTTCTTTGGGATTTTTTGGGGGGATTTTGGGTTTTTGGGGGGGGATTTTTTGGGGTTTTTGGGGGATTTGGGGATTTTTGGGAATTTTGGAAATTTTTGGGTTCTCACCTTGGTCTTGCGGGCGATTTTGGGATTTTTTTGGGCGATTTTTTTGGGGTTTTGGGGGGGGATTTTTTGGGGTTTTTGGGGGATTTTGGGATTTTTTGGGAATTTTGGGAATTTTTGGGTTCTCACCTTGGTCTCGCGGGCGATTTTGGGATTTTTTTGGGGATTTTGTGGGGTTTCTTTGGGGGATTTTGGGGTTTTTGTGGAGGGATTTTTTGGGGTTTTTGGGGGATTTGGGAATTTTGGGAATTTTGGATTTCTCACCTTGGTCTCGTGGGCGATTTTGGGATTTTTGGGGGATTTTTTGGGGTTTCTTTGGGGTTTTTTGGGGGTTTCTTTGGGGGTTTTTTGGGGGGATTTTGGGTTTTTTTGGGGGGGATTTTTTGGGGTTTTTGGGGATATTTGGGGATATTTGGGGATTTTTGGGAATTTTTGGGTTCTCACCTTGGTCTCGCGGGCGATTTTGGGATTTTTTGGGGGATTTTGTGGGGTTTCTTTGGGGGTTTTTTGGGGGGATTTTGGGGTTTTTTGGAGGGATTTTTTGGGGTTTTTGGGGGATTTGGGGATATTTGGGGATTTTTGGGAATTTTTGGGTTCTCACCTTGGTCTCGCGGGCGATTTTGGTTTTCTGGTGCAGCAGGTACGCCACGATGGCCTCGCGCTCGTACAGGAACCCGTCGGGGCTGGGGAGATTCGGGAACCCCAAAATTATTTGGGGAACCCCAAAATTATTCGGGAGCGATTTGGGGTCGGGGCGACCAGAAATGGTCAAATTTGGGCGGTTTTGGGGCGGATTTTGGGGTTTTTTGGGGTTTTTTTGGGGTTCTGTGGGGGTCTTGGTTGGGGTTTTGGGGGATTTGGGGATTTTTGGGGTTTTTTTGGGGGTATTTGGGGCTTCTTTGGGGTGGTTTTGGGGATTTTGGCTTTTTTGGGGTGGTTTTGGAGATTTGGGGTTTTTTTGGGGGCATTTTTGGGGTTTTTTTGTGCCAGTTTAGGGGATCTTAGTGCACTTTTGGGGCTATAATTTAGTTATTTTGGGGCTGATTTTGGGCTATTTTTGGGCTATTTCAGGGCTGATTTTGGGTTATAATTCGGATATTTCAGGGCAGGTTTGGGGCTATTTTTGGGCTATTTCAGGGCAGTGTTGGGTCTATTTTTGGGCTATTTTTGGGCACTTTTGAGGCTATTTTTGGGTTATTTCAGGGCTGATTTTGGGTCTATTTTTAGGCTATTTCAGGGTAGTTTTGGGGCTATTTTTGGGCTATTTTTGGGCAGTTTTGGGGCTATTTCAGGTCAGGTTTGGGGCTATTTTTGGGCTATTTTTGGGCAGTTTTGGGGCTATTTTTGGGTTATTTCAGGGCAGTTTTGGGACTATTTTTCGGCTATTTCAGGGCTGGTTTTGGGCTGATTTTGGGCTATTTTGGGGCTGATTTTGGGCTATTTCGGGGCTGATTTTGGGCTATTTCGGGGCTGGTTTTGGGCTATTTCGGGGCTATTTTTGGGCTATTTCAGGGCTTGTTTTGGGCTGATTTGGGGCTATTTTGGGGCTGATTTTGCTGCCACGCTCACGTCACCACGGGGTCCCGGCAGGGCTGCAGCGACAGGCAGCAGCAATCGAAATCCTTGATGGCGTCACGGCCCAGCCGCACGCGCTGCGTGCCGTAGCCCGAGGCGGCTGCGGGGAACGGCGGCACGCGCGGCTCAGCCAACCAGAATCCCCCCAAAATCCCCCAAAATCCACCAAAATCCCCCAAAATCCCCCAAAATCCCCCAAAATCCCCC